GAACGGACTAGCGGGTGAAAAGACTACTCTCGCCCAAGCACGCTTCATTGCGGAGTTCTGATGGGATGCGGTGCATTAGTGCTGGTATGATCGCACTGGTCAACTCTTGCGTTCACTACGTTTCATCTATTTTCACCCGCTAGTCGGTTCACGGCCTTTCGCCATTCTTGACCCCGCAAAATATAGCCGCGAAATCTAAGTTCTCCGGTTTTTTTTCAACGGTTTGGTTCTCGTACCATTTCCGACAAGAACAAACAACAACAAAACAAACAACAACAGAACAAACCCATGCCGAACAAACGAACATCGGTGGAACGAAATCCGGTGGAAAAAATGGCGCAACACGTGCAACCAAGTATTGCATTAGAATTTATCAAACAAGACAACGGTTATCGTCTCCGTTAACCCGAAACGAGGTGTGAAAAATAAAAAACATCAATCAAATATTACAATAAAAGTAAGAATTATTTGGAGATAAAAAACCCTGTGCGGACAGAACATCGAAACGAGATGCGACGACAAAAGGAAAAGAAAGGGTGCAACACGAGGACTTCCCAGGAGGTCATCCATCCTAGTACTACTCTCGCCCAAGCACGCTTCACTGCGGAGTTCTGATCGGTGAACATGCTTGTCATTCAAAAGGTATGTGGGCTTTCTGTTTTCTTTTACATTCGGTAAATAGCTTAGTTTGATCTTCGTTTTATCTTTGTCTATTGCCATCTCAGAATATAACTCTTCAACAAGTTGCTCATATGTTACCTCAATTGGAGAACAAAAGAACAACAATCTTTGGTTGTCCATAACTCTCCCGTTCCATTCGTATTCTCCGTTCTTATTCACAATCCATTCTCCTCCACAGAGAAAATAAATAATTGTAGTTCTCTCCATTACATCCATTATACCTGTAAAAAAAAATTTACAAACAGAATAACACGTTACCAGACTTAATCACTGCATAACCATGACAAGTCAATAATTCGATAAATTCGACCCATGTGACCCAAGTGACCCATGTGACCCGTGACCCATGTGACCCATGTGACCCATGTGACCCATGTGATCCGTGACCCATGTGACTCATGTAACCCATGTGACCCATGATCTATGTGACCTATGTGACCTATGTGTCTGTCCAATGTGACAACTTATTTGACTCATATGATTGTGTAATCCATGTAACTCATATGCCTCATATATCCAAATGTCTCATGTGACTCGATTTTCCCCCCACAAAACACAGTAAACAACTCAAAAACAAGAAAAAACCCACAGAATAACAGTATTTAAGTCGAAACTTACCTATTTCCACGAGATTTGAAGCAATTTCGCAAATTATCGAAGATATAGCAAGCAAATCGGATAAATGAAGCAAATGTGAGGACAAAGAGACCAAATCGGAAGAGAGAGCAGATAAATCAAAAGAAATACTGAGCAAATCAAAGAAGAGAGCAAATCAGATGAGAGAAAGTGGAAATCGTAAGAGAGAGTGAGCAAAATACGAGTATTCAAACGGAGGAGAGAGAGCGCAAATCAAGAGAAGAGAGAAGAAAAAATAAGGAGAGAGAAGGAAAGTAATAATGAGGAGAGAGAAACCGCTGCTGTTTTTTAGGAGAAAAAATATTTTTTTAAAATTTGTTTTTTTATTTCATTTATTTTATAACATAAGAGTATATATAGGAAGATATATTTGAAGGAGATATTTTTATTGTGAAGGAAGGGTAGTCCATGAAAACCATATAGCATTTTAAGGGCATTTTTTATAAAATCCCTCTCAGTTTCATCTTTGTAGATTATCCTTTTACTAGAAAAGAAACGAAAATTGATCACGTTGTCAGAAGGAAACGACGAACAATAGAAAGGTCACTGAGAAATAACTAAAATGACATATCGCTGAAGCCACTAAGGGATTCGAATATTTTTTCCTTTTAATTTAGTGTAATTATTCCAATAATACATAGGTATATTTCCATGTAAAATTTCTAATGTGCCCTTAAAATGAAAGTAATTCAATGTAATTTCGGAAATAATTACATGGGCCTTATGATCTAAGATCGAGACAGCACCTTTAGAAATTCTATGGAGACGAGGTCGAGACCGGGTGTCCCTAAAAATCCGGTTACCCGACCCACCAGTGGCGGATGTACATGTAAAGAAGTGGGGTATAGGACCCCACTCAAAAAAATAAAAAAACATTAATATATTTATAATTTTAAAAATTTAAGAGATTGACCCGTCAATTTTTTATGTAGACTCCCTATTATTATTTTTTCTTTTTCTATTATGTTTTTAATAAAAAATTAGGTTAGTTATGTTTTTAAATCACCGCCGTTGTCTCGTTTGTATCTTTTATTTTTTGTTTTATCTTTTCCAATTTAAAATCCTTTCCTAATTATAGTTTGATAGGGTTTTCTAATAACAATTATTTTGAAAAAAACACAGTTATAAACATAGCCTTCTCCATTGTTTCTTTTTATTTTCATCTATTTTTTAATCTTCTATCTCTTTCTTGATCTATAAAAAAAATCTCTACCGACCTAGTGTTGCACCCTTTCGTACATATTCCTGTGCCGATTCCTTACTGTCGAACTCATGGCCAGGATTTATATTCAATCCATCACTGAATGTGAATATAGAAGTAGAAAATAATGAGTCCTCAACCACTACCAAAGCCAAATTATTATCATCCTCACCACCGCCATCACCATCACCATCACCATCGATCGGGTTGTAAGTGGAAATTGCGCGTGGCAATGATCCAAAAGTCCAAACGTTTTAGTGTGAGAACACACGATCCAATTCATAGTTGCAAACCTGTATGTGAAACAAGTGACACCATGAAGGGTACATCAAAGCTGGTTAAAGACTATTTGAAGGAAGAATATCCGGGTAAACTCGAGACGCCTACAGCAAGTGAATTAGTAGAACGCGTCAAAAGCAAGTATGGACTTACTGTGTCATATTTGATGGCATTAAGAGGCAAGCATAGTGCAGAAAGTGAGATTCGTGGTGACCCTTGTGACCATTACAGTAGACTTCCAAAGTGGTTGCACATGTTGATCAAAAGAAATCCCGGGACGCATGCGAGTCTTAGCTTGGACGATGATGGCAGATTTAAATATGTCTTTATCGCTTTGAGTGCAGCTATAAAAGGATGGAAATATTTGCGTAAAGTGGTTGCCATTGACGCAACGTTTCTAACAGCGTTCCATTCGTATTCTCCGTTCTTATTCACAATCCATTCTCCTCCACAGAGAAAATAAATAATTGTAGTTCTCTCCATTACATCCATTATACCTGTAAAAAAAAATTTACAAACAGAATAACACGTTACCAGACTTAATCACTGCATAACCATGACAAGTCAATAATTCGATAAATTCGACCCATGTGACCCAAGTGACCCATGTGACCCGTGACCCATGTGACCCATGTGACCCATGTGA